CTCTCCAGGCCTTTCCTCTGTAGCCATGCACGCAGGCGTTTTGGCTGTAGTGGGCATGGCCAACTCTGAAGCCAGCCGAAACTCTGTTCCTGCGTGTTCCTGCCCAAAAATAGCCCTGGTTAAGATTGTAAAAGACAACACATATGATATTCTTTTTTTCTGTTTTAAGAATAACATTTCTTTTTTTTCTTTTTTTAAGACTTCCAATCAGAATCATATTTAATTCCATTGCTCTAAAGCAGGTTTAGGGGGAAGAACTCACTGAATTTCTGAAGGCTCACAAGTCAAAGTGATGAGTGACAACTCTACAAACCAACACTATGATGCTTTGAAAACCTCTTGCCAGCTGAGAAGATGAGCATACATACTTCGGTAGCACGATGTCCACAAATAATAGGTTTTGACCTGTCTCCTGTGAAGGTGTCATAGGGACCTCTTGTGCTGACCACACGTTTCAGCATCTCGTCCATACTGTTTTTGAGATTATACGTGCCAGGCCCCAAACCACTTCCCTAAAGCCAACCAAGAATTGAGAGAAAACATTTTTACCAATGCCATACATATTTGACAGGTGCAAGGTACAGCAACTATTGTGTCAGCTGGGTGAATTTTTGGGACTATGTTGGTCCCAATCCAGCTATAGTTTTGCACAACAAGTACAATGGCCCTACATGTGGATGCGCAGCCCCATTAACATCAAAAGACAAAGCCATCCAATTAAACAAGGCCCAGATGAGTGCTACAATAAAAATGCATGTTCATTGGAGAATTGCTTTCTTGGATACATCTCTTGGGTGTAGTCCAGCTCCCCCCCCCCCTCTTTGCAGGATTCATCTCATGGCTCCTGCTGTCTGTCTCTAGAGGAAGGACATCATGCAGTTACTGTTTGGCAGATGCTTGCTTCCCATCTAGTCAATTTGCTTGACCTAGTACCCAGTGCCCACAGGTTGGTTTGCAACTTCATAGCAGAATCAGTTAACTATAAAAAATATAAGTCTTGAGTGGGGGAATATGTTAGAGTGGAAGCTACAGTGCTCAATTTTTTCTATTGCTCCTCCAAAATTGGAAATGTTTTTTCTCAGTAAAGGTAGTCAGTATCTCCATATTTTGTTATCATAAAATAAGCTGGGAACATTCTACACAAGAGGTTTGGCAGAATACTGCCATTAGCAAACACAAAGAACTGGGGTTGCACATCAGTCCTATTTGTTCTAGAAATATAGAAGGGACTTCAAGAGACAGAAGGAAAAGACTATGAGTGCCCCCCCGCCCAGTCTCAGTGTCTAGGGGGATCTCATTTGGGTGAAGCAAAATGGAGAGATAGGCAGAAATTATTCTGGATCTAACAATAAACAATTATTATTTATTAGTTGCTGTAGATTTTCCTGGTTGTGTGGCCGTGGTCTTGGCATTGTAGAACCTGATGTTTCTCCGGTAGCTGTGACTGGCATCCTCAGAGGTATAACACAGAAAGATGAAGTACTTTCTGTGTCAAGGTGAGAAGAAAAATGGTAGGCAGATAATTTATATCTACTCCAGAAGGTGGAGTAGGACTGAGTCATTATCTTGTAGGAGTTCCCCAGGCTATGAACATGCTACTGGAGGAGCTTTCCTGAGGAGCTTCTTTTGTATATGGATTGTTTCCTTAGGAAGTTTCCTGTTTCCTGAGGAGGTTCTTTGCTTTTTGTAGAATCCTATGACAGATATGTGAACTGCACTTTTCAGTGATGAACTAAATCATCTAAATCACGCACTTCAAGCGAATGGCTACTCCAAGAATTAAATCAGAAGAGCAATTAAACCAAAGGTAAAACAAACAACTGAGGAAAAACAGTCTCCCACAGGAAAAGTGTTTTTGCCATATATCAAAGGAATCACTGATCAGATGGGAAAACTTATGAAAAAACACAACCTACAAACAGTATTCAGACCCACCAGAAAAATACAACAGATGCTACGATCAGCAAAAGACAGAAGAGACCCCCTCACTTCTGCAGGAATATACCGCATACCATGCAGTTGTGGACAAGTTTACATCAGGACCACACAGCGTAGCATTCAGACAAGAATAAAAGAACATGAAAGACACTGCAGACTTGGTCAACCTGAAAAATCAGCAGTGGCTGAATGCAGCGTAACTAAAACAGGACACAGTATTTTGTTCAAAGACACTGAAAGGCTGGACAACATTTCCAATTACCATGTCAGATTACACAGGGAAGCCATTGAAATTAATAAACATAAACACAATTTCAACAGGAAAGAAGAGAGTTTTAAAATAAATAGGGCATGGTTTCCTGTCCTGAAAAATACAAAAGGCTCTACATGTGACAATAGCACTACAGATAAAATTAGAATTTCAACAGCCAATCCACATACAAAAGAACCCCCTCAGGAAACAGAAAACCTCCTCAGGAAACAATCCATATTCAAAAGAACCTCCTCAGGAAGGTTCATTAGCATGTTCATAGCCTGGGGGACTCCTACAACATAACAACTCAGCCCTACCCCACCTTCTGGAGTAGATATAAATTACATGCCTACCATTTTTCTTCTCACCTTGACACAGAGAGTACTCCATCTTTCTGTGTTATACCTCTGAGGATGCCAGTCACAGCTACTGGTGAAACGTCAGGTTCTACAATGCCAAAACCACTGCCACACAACCCGGAAAATTTACAGCAACTAATGAACTTTGGCCATGAAAGCCTTCGACAACATATCCATAACGATTTAGTTATTTTGTTATTACCATCATCCTAAAAAAAAGACTGAGAAGGTACAGAGACAGGACTTTGCCGTCATGTGCTATCCAACTACTCCTACCATGTGGCAAAACAATACTGAACTTTTTCCTTCTATGGGGTTGGTAGTTACCAAACAGGAAGACCATAGAGATAAGAAGCAGCTGAGTGAAGAATTAAGAGCCCAAGCTTGCCATGTTGGGAAAGGGGAAGCATTTTGCAGTTTTGCTGTCCATTATTCCCAGTGCAGTCACAGAGCGTTTTTCATTCTCCTCTAGGCGAGTATAAGGATTCCCATACGTTCCTGGGCCAGGGTAACACTCCTAGAAAGATAACCAGTAAGAGAAATAAGAATGATTGGACAATCAACACTACCAAATCATAAATGTCACAGATGGACCAAGATGTGCCCTGGTCTCCAAAACCAGGAAGATCACTAATATATTTCCATTCATTATCAAGTAAGTATAAATTCTGTTTTTTTCATTTCCCAGCATGCTGATGCAGTGATGCCCAATTCTGTTTGTCCCAGCAGGCAAAGGCATCCTGCTAGGGGGGGCGGGGGGGGGGGGGGGGGGGGGGGACTATTGGCAACTCTAGGAAGTCACTGTTTTCACTGGTACTTAATCTGCTTCTTATCTGCAGACAGCTTTCTAGGTGTGTCCAGCAAAAGAAACCTTTCTGGTTCATGCTTTTAGGCAAAGAGCTCTTGATTCTTCTCTTCTTTCAAAACAGATGTTGGAGGGGGGGGACACGTTTTGGTCCTGAGTGTCCAATATTATTAGTATATCATCTTCTCCACAATCATTTATTAATGTGGTCACTTAGAAAATATAGCTAGGCATTCTTTGTGATGGTTTGTAGCAAAGGAAACACTACAATAATCCAATGAAGAATTTTGTGATTGTAGGTGTTTCGGAGCTCTGTGACCTTCAAACAGGTACAACTGCAGCAATATGTTGTTCTTCACCTACTATTCCACTGTGAGTCACTCTTGCTTCATAAATACTATACTATTATCTATCTAGTAGTAAGGAGTTTTCTTAAACTAGCATTTAACAACAGTGGGTAGTCAGTTTATCCATTTTTGCATTCCCATTTCTCAGATTCATAGGGAATAAAATATGTGTTCCTTGACCTGAATGGCCCAAACTACCCTGATCTCCTCAGATCTCAGAAGCTAAAGAGGATTGGCTCTAGTTAGTACTTGGTGGGAAGCCACCAAGGAATTCCAAGGTTCCTATGGAAAGGAAGGCGATGGCAAACCAACCTCTGTCAGTCTGTTGCCTTTGTGATATTGAAGTTCAGTCACCAGCCAGTTCAGATTGAGGCTTACTCACAAATTATAATAATCAGATTTGAATATTTGACACATTGTTCATTTGTATCCCAACAGTCTAAACACACTTAGAGATAGAGGCAGACTAAATTTTTCACTGATGGAATTAACTGCCGTCAGTGGGATACAACTTTCCTGCCTCCCCACCTCCCACATGTTAACTGATCTCCTCACAATTTTGGTCCTGGGGAACAGGGGATCCCTAAGAATGGCATCATCTTTATTTTGCTTAAATAGTATGTGAAATGCAAATGTAATTGAAAGTACAGAGACCATTCATATCCCTTTGAGCCATTTGTGCATGAGTGAATGCTGTTGATTTGGATTAGCAAGTAGAAGTGGAGACATTTTAAAATTGAGTGCAAGTTAGTACATTCGGATTATAAATTTAAGAAATCAAAACACCAAAGTTAACATTCACAGTCCAAACTCCTTGCTCTTAGGAAGATTCCCATACACCTGTAGATTTGCCAAATAGTCACAACTTCACTGGAGGTGTAAATATACTACAACTGTCCTTATTTACCTGGGGAACTCCTAGTTTTCTGGCCCCCCATCCCTACTAACTCATTCCCCCCATTTTTCCTTTGGGGGGATATCTGGTCAGATTGTGAATTTCCCAAGTTGTCTTTCTTTCAGATTCAGTTCCCTGCCCAGGGCTCTGCTCTTATGCTCTAGCAGTTCACTCTCTTGAGTTAGGAACAGATGCCTCTGGCCTGTAAGTACCTGCACAGCTATGAAAACATAAGCACTAGGAGCTACAGGGAGTATAAGCAGCTGGCCTATAGCTACCAGGGTGTGTTTGCTGTGGTTAATAAGAGATTGTAGGGGAAAGACACACCTTTAACTTTCCTGCCTCTTAAAACAGAAAAGCATAAATGGACATGGGCTGGGAAGAGTTCTTCGACACTCACCATGGGCAATTCTTGCATTCTTTGTCGAACCAACTTCGAGTCTTAGAAGGGGTTATCTGGACAGTTTTAGCCAGTGGAGAACAGTGCTTGACAATTTGGGAAAAAGCAGATGGTACTTCTGAGTATGAGGTAGAACTAATAATTACTGTTCTCAGCTCAGATATCATCTCAGATTGGAAGAGAGAAAGAAGGTCTCCCTCCAAGGTTTCAGACCATCTGATTCTTTTTAAGATTAGGTCTGTGCGTTGTTCTGATCTAATATCAAGCTACTTATTATGAATGTCCAGTAATGCTCCACAACTCAACTATTCCATGTGTAGGCCAGATATATTTAACCCTCTATTATTTCCAAAGGCTTTTCAGATAATGCAATTGCTGCCAGGATGGAAGCCAATACATACCCTGATGCGATCTTTAAACCTCACTTCTCCTGTGTCACAAACTCCTTTAATGCTGCATGGACGACACTTCTGGAGTTCCAGAAAATCTGTATAGTTGTAAGTACCAGGGCCCAGTTTCTGTTTCTAGGTGAGAGAATGAAGAGGACATCATAAGGTTTACGTGACTGCATGTGCGCCTCTTCAACATCCCTCCATCTGCAAAGGCAGATGTGTCCACACTTAAGGATGCCACCTAAGTTCACCTAAATGTCAAATGTGAAAGAAATTTGGAAGTTCCTACTTGGGCAAAACATCTGAAAAACTCTGAGGGATGATAAAATGAAGGCTACATACATTTCTCAGATTATTGCTTTCACACATTCCTACACTAATTCCTTTGCCCAGTATCTCCTGCTGCCTACTGTAAGGTCAGCCAGGAAAAAGGATCGGGGGAGGAGTGAAGGGAGAACACTCGTTTTCGTTTACTTCTGCAGAGCAGTCAGAGACAAGCATGACTATCAAGTTGCATAGTCCTACACATAGTGATCAAATTACGGTTCTAACCATACCTGATTGGAAATAAGGTTCACAGAAATTACCTCTCCTCATTATGGTTCTGAATAGCTAGCAATCTGAATTGCTGGGAATGCCGCAGGGTCCCCTTTCTCCTTGCCTGATCCATCAAAGTTAATGGGCCTTTCCCTCATATTTAACAATGACAACATTCCTGGCAGAGAGTCAAAATAAAGGAGACCCTGGAGGAATATAGGACTGAAACTTCCATTGTGCAAAGCTGAGTAACAGCTGACTGGGCCCTCATTCAGATCAGGACATGCAAGGAGGGGAGAGGTGATTTAACAGTTCCCACCTCTGCCTGGTTTCACTAATCAAAACTCTCTCCATAGACACACACAGAGTTGTAGCCAGTGTTCCCTCTAAGCTGAGTTAATGTGATCTAGCTCACAGTTTTTTAGCCTCCAGCTCACACATTTTTGTCTTGGCCCAGGAAGGAGGGCTCCAGAGCAAATTTAATTTATGCAGTAGCCAAATAGTCCACTCACAACTCTAATGCCAGTAGCTCACAAAGTAAAATTTTTTGCTCACAAGACTCTACAGCTTAAAGGGAGCATTGGTTGTAGTAGCTCTTATTTTTAAAAGACAGGCAAAAGACAAGGGCCTATCTTTTTTCTTTAAAGAGCTAACAGTAGTGCAGGGCACCCAGTTTCAATGAGAGAAACCATGCCAGAACTGAAGGGTTAAATCCCCCTTCCCTTACCCACACAGCTCTAGTCTGAACTGCAGCCCATGTGGCTTTGATTCAGTTTTAAAGATGTTAACATGCTTGTGATGTCTGCAATGTCTACTTGTGAACCTAAGGCCACAGTTACTTATTGAACTCACTTGAAGACTTACTTCTGTGTCAGTAAACGTGCTTGAACTTACTCTACTCATAATGCAGACAAATCACTGATTGTCTGGGAAACAGTCTAAAGTACATTGCCAGATGCAAGGGAATGCGTAGGGGCCATCCATAGCAGAATTTACACAACTGACTTAGGGTACAGCTGTGGTGGGGGGTGGGGAGCTTTGTTCAGAGTCCCCAGCTGAATCAGCTATGATCTGCTTAATATTTTCAGCCCTTAATCCAGCCAATATGCAGTAAACAGACAAAAACTGAAAGCTTACCAGGAGTTTCCCTTTCTTGCATATCTCCTTAAAATTAAAATGTGGCATTTGAGTGAGCCTTGTTGCTTCCTGTGCTTTTGCCCAGTTGGAGAATGAGAGTTTCTGTAGAGCAATGGAACTGAAGCCTCCACAGTCAACGCTGTAAGTGCCAGGTCCCAATCTTCGGTTCTAAAGGAAACGTAAAATTAATCTGTTTTGCACTGGTACAGTTTCTTTGAAAAATGGAGTAAATGCTGGCGAATGTGGCCAGGGCTAGACTAGCAATTAGACCAAGTATGCTGTGGATTAGGGGCCCAGCTCAGTGGATGCTCACTCAGCATCATTAACATGCTCTTATAGACATCCTGCCTATTCTCCTTAAAATTCCACATAGTGTGGGATATAGTAGCTGTTCATGTATCAGGGAAGTACTGGCCATGTTCCCATACCTTTGAAGGCTTAAAGCACATAGAACGCATGTGAACAGGAGGAGTAGAACTTTGGCATGCCATTACATTGCAGTACGGAGTTCATGCAATAGTAGTAGAGTACTCGCATCACTGGGTAACGACCAAATGAAGTACATGGAGCTGAGAAAGATGGGGTATGGGATTATTTAAAGTTTAACACTTTCAACTCCTTTAACATTATACTGGAGGTAGATCTGAATATCCTCATTTAGTAAAAGCCTTCAGTGATGCTGTGATTCCATCTGCCATTTCCAAATCTCTCTCCTGCTTTGCAGTACAGGGGGGGGGGTGTTTTCCACATTCCTATTAAATATGGCTGATTCCATCTAGGGATAACTTGCAGGAGAAGGCTCCCATATTAAGCTCCATCTTGGAAGGCAGCCATTGCCATGTGGAAGAACTGAAGGGCTACCTGCCTGAACAGAAACTCTAAGGTAATGGGAATCTAAGAAATAATGTCCTTTTGTACATACATCTACAGATAGACTCACCAAGTCTGAGCAGACAGATTTGGAGTAAGGGGCCTGCAGGAAGGTACTAGGTTTCTTGACATCTGGATAAATCGCTGCTACATCAAATCTAGCCAAAGAAATATAATAAGTTACAACAAAGCTGGACTGCAAAGAGCCAAAAGATCCTTATGTTGCCATTGGAACCAAAGTCATGTAGCATAAGGCCCTTTGGAACTGTGATTGGTACTTTGACCCTTAACAAAATACTACCTGCTGTTAGCTGGAGGAGCAGGACAGAGTTAGTTTGGACTTCTTTGTCTGAAGCAATGAGACACTGCCTAGGGTTGCCAGCTCTGAGGTGGGAGATACCGGGGTTTTTTTAGGAGGGAGGCTGATGAGGAAGGGGTTTGGGGAGGAGAGGGACCTCAGTGGGGATAATAACACCAGAGTCCACCTCCCAAGGTGGCCGTTTTCTCCAGGTGAGCTGATCTGTGTTGTCTGGAGAGCAGCTGTAGTAGTGGGAGATCTCCAGCCACCACCTGGAGGTTGAGTAAACCAAAAAAGGGATCACAGTTACAAGGAAATATATCAAACAAACACTGTGATTTAATAAATCTTATGAACATCAAATTATATTACAATAGAAACGTTTACAATATTACTAAGGAAATTCTATGATTCTCAAGAAGATGTCCATCATCCTCAATTCCTTGAGAATGTTACAATTTCCTTAGTAATATTGTAAACGTTTCTATTGTAATATAATTTGATGTTCATAAGATTTATTAAATGTCATTGTCATTTTTATCACAGTTTTTGTTTGTTTGATATATTTCCTTGTAACTGTGGTCCCTTTTTTGGTTTACTCAGCTTCTATCTCTCCCTTATTATAATTGAATAGCAACGTTCTATATCGCAACGTTCTAAATAAGGTCTTTTGCATATTGAAGCTGATTGGACTTCACTCCATTCCACACCTCAAACTCCCCCCCCCCGCAAGGCAGTTGGAATTTTCATTTGCATATGGGAACTACTGTATTCTGAGGTAACATATGTCCTCACTCACAACACATCACTTCCCCTTTAAAAGAAACAAACCCAATAACACAATCACGCCACACCACAAAGAAGACAGATCACACCACAAGCAGAATACCTCAAGGCAAAAAATGATAGGAAAAGGTGCCAGCAGTCACCCCATTACTGCCACAGATGGTGTGCAGGTCCCAGGTTCATGTTTTAAAAGCTGCCTGGGGGATTATGGACCATTCACACACTTTCAACCATAACATGCCGCATAGGGTAGTTGTGCGGATCATATGGGGGAGAGGAGAATGATGACAGCTGCTTTGGTTCCCACTGCAGGGAAAGACTGCCTTTTCTCTAGGCAGAGGCTGGGGGGGGGCATAGGGTTGCAAACTCCAGGTTGGAAAATTCCAGGATATTTTAGGGATGAAGTCTGCTGAGGGTGGGGTCTGAGGAGGAGGAGGAGGAGGAAGAGGGGGGACCCCAGACAGATACAATGCCATACTCCCCACCCTCCAAACAAGCTGTTGCCAGTCTCCAGGTGACAGCTGGAGAGCTCTTAAAGCTCTGGTGCTACTTCAAAAGGTGCAATTTATT